GATCTTCCAAAGTCACTTTTTTAGGGGGGGCTTTATATGGGGGTTTGGGGTTAAGGGGATTAGTCCGGGCTTAGGGTTTATTTAAGATGAACTCAGAGAATATATGCCGAAAAGTCTTAGAACATATGGGGGGCCTGTTATAGTCTAAGGTATGTATACTCTTTTACTTAAGGGATATTAGAAGATCAAGGGTGTTATGAGGGGAGCTACAAGGGATCTGCGAAGAGAAATAGGGTTTATGGAGGGTTTGGGGCTACAAAGGGAGTCAAATAATCGCTGGGAAACCAGACCTGCAAATGAATCAACAAGGTGACACGACAAAGCCGTTTTATGAAATTGCTTGTTTGAGGGTTTAGGTATGCTCTGAACTCTCTTGCTTCAGGTCACTCAGCCAGAGCTGCCGTCTGAGAGTCCTCCAAGCGAACTTGCCGAGGCCTTCCTAGGAGTCTTCCAGGTCATGAGGGGTTCTAGCTCCTTCAAAATTTCACTGCCCTGTTCGTAGCTAAACCCGAAGCCATGAAACCTCTCACCTCCAAACTTAGCGTTTTTGTTGAGTTTAAGCCTGTAAACCTGGGACCCTACCAGAATCCCCCCAACCCCAAGTGCCCTGGAAGTTAGCGGACCGAGGTAAACCACTAGCCGCCCTAACCCTAAGCCCGTAACGAAAGCGATGAAGAAGATAGCCACTAAACCGAGATTGACAGGTTCGCGTAGCAGTCCAGTTACCTACCTAATAAGTTGCTCGACTGCGGCTAGCGTCACTCACCTACCCCTTTATCTTCAACTTGTTATATATGTATACACACATCTATGTGTATAAATATATATATATATGTATATATCATTACAATGTGTCTTGTGCGTACATATATAGAATGATATAGTGCGCTATTATATAATACGTCATAACACAATTTAGTTTGATATGTATTGCATTGTAATGTAACGCAATATAACGTATTATAGGCATATATATATATATATACACAGATTTCCGTACAGGGAAATACAGTATTCTGCAGAGCCATATAACGTAATGTAGTATGATATAAGATATTAGATATGATAAGGTTATAGCATAAGATCAGACAAGAGAAGATAAGCTAAGACAAGGTAGTAAATCATAATGCAATCAATAAACCAAGATAGACATAAGCTAGAATATGATGTACTGTCATATGTTATAAACAATATTATATATATACACATGTACACACACCTTAAGTCCAAAGCCCGAACCGCTGACCTACTATATTACGCAGGATGATGCTGATATGTCAGTTGAGAAACGCTTTCCGGAGGAGGAGAAGGCAGACTTTCGGCAGACATTAGACATTTCGGCCTTTAGGGGTTCAGGGTTTAGGGTTTAGGGTTTAGGCAGGTTTAGAATTTTAGGATTTTCATTAGGGCCTGGAGTTTGGCGCTTGCAGTTGCTAGCAGCGTTCCCCCGAAACCCTACAACCTTAAGCTCTATACACCGTGCTTTTCCGAGTTCGAGCAGTAGCAAGCCTTGTTCCTACAAACCCCGCCACAGCCATGGTGCGTTCTTCCGACCGAGCCGAAGCCTTTCTTTCATGTAACTTTGGAGTGCGTCTGGTGCATCCTTCTTAAAGAAGCAACAGAAGCTGCTATGACTTCAGAAGGGCTTCAAGGCACAGCACAGCAACGTCTCATTTAGGCTTTAGAGAAGGAGGCACCTCAGGGTCGCTCCGTTCTTGGGTTTGCATAGAGTGCTACACTCATCGGCTTCAACAAGAGGGGAAATCTTAGCCAGGAGTCAACATAGTACCTCTGTAGGATCCTGAAAGAGGGTGCGTCCCTTGGGGGCTACATATCCCGTCCCAGTAACCGCAATTCTACACACTACTCACGACTCCTTAACCCTAAACCCTAAGCCCTCTTAGGGGTCCTCAGCCCTAAGGCTCTCCGTTTTGACTACCCTCACTTTAAAGATCCTAAAGTGCCGCTACTATAGGGGCCCTATAATAATTAGAATAGGGCTTTGGGTATAACTATAATAAGAACCCTCAAAGTCGTATTCGTAAGTATTTAGCCTGTACTACCTGAAGTTGTCTCGTCGAGACTCTGCTGCTGCCCTGAACCGCCGAGATTCTCCACAAAGGAGCAAGACTAACCTAGGGGCTTTAATAATTACCATGCCATTTTTTGGGTTTCCTTGCTATGATTATAGTATAATGCATCGCAAAACCCTATTCTAATTATTGAGGCCTCTACATTGCAGTAGATTACACCGAAAAAGCCGTGCATCCCAAACGGCCCCAGCAGCCTATAAAAATGTGGAATCCCCAAAGCCTTACACCCTTCATCCCTGATAGCTCTTGCAGACTTCATCATCTAAGAACCGACCAAAGTCCCTTACATCCTAAACCCTAATCCCTAGACCCCTAAACCTGAAACCCTAAACCCTTAAACC